GACGGACATAATATGCCCGTTTTATAATTTGCACGCGCTTGCAAACGCGCTAAGGAACTTATCCCATTGACTAACAAAAATCATTTAGTCCGATTATTAAGAAATAAGCTAACAGGTCATACATACCTAGCCATTGAAGATGAGATTCATAATACAGTCGATCAGTTCATAGATTGTTTAAAACCCACATTCGGACCGGTACGGATTCTAATTATTACCGCGGACAATTAAGCATCAATTTCAAAAAACCTTCAGAGCATATTTTAGATTATATCGGCCGTGTAAAGGATTTGCGTAATGCTAATCGAAGGAGATCAAAATCAATTTGGCCGACCTCTCAATAATTTCGAAATTGAGCAGATAGATTCATATGCCCTAGAATCATTCTTTGAGGGTTTAATCCCCGAATATCATACCGAAATCCGCATGGAGGGTTATCGAAATCTCTCAGAAGCTTATAATAAAGTAATACTCATTAAGCAATACTCAGTAAGAGGCTCGAACGCGATCGCGTACGCCAGCGCGACGATACCGAACCCTGTTCGCAACATCTCAACTACCGATCAGAACCGAAGAACAATACCGCCAATTTCCGTTATGCAACCAGATCGCCGTCAATCCTCTTCTTTTAATCCTTCCCTTCAAGTTAAAATCTGTGCATACTGTAAAAACTTTGGTCACCTAATCTCCAAATGTAAGAAAAGACAATATAACAATGCCATGCGCAATAACAATCAGGGAAACTTGCCCAGCCCCTCGACGTCGGACGTAAATCGAGGGGAGGCGACCACGCGCCCGTTATACCCAATAACAAAATACCAGAGTCGCCATCATCAAACTTAGCTCTGGAACCGTCCCAACCATCGAATTAGATTCTTGCTCTTTCCGCAAGCCAGCAGCTCTGATGCTCGATACAGGAGCTCAGCCGAATATCATAAAAATTGGTATTCTAGATCGTAACGTACCTATTAACAGCGACAACATTTTGAATTTAAAAGGAATCACGGAAAATATTGTAAAAACTCTCGGAACAGTATACATCTATCTTCACGATATTCCGATAATCTTTCATGTTGTAATCGATGATTTTCCTATCGCACAACAGGGAATATTAGGGTCTTCATTCTTTACCGAACATCATGCACGAATCGATTATGATACCAACCATATTACCTGGAACCAACATAAGATACCTTTCAAAAGATATCTCTGCAAGTATCGTAGTATCACCAAGAAGTAACGTAGATTTAATGATAAAAGTATTAAATCCAGAAATAGGAACTGGATATGTATCACGAATGTACGTGAGGGATGGAGTCTTCCTAGGAGACTCACTGGTCACTTGTATCAACGATAAAGCTTTTATTCGAATTATCAACATCACTAAAATTGAATTTGAGGTTCTTGTTCCTACTATTCGATTACAAGAAGTCTCGCAGGTTGCTAACTTCAGAGAACTCATGATGGATTGTTTTGATTCTAAATCGATCTCTCAGAGACCTTATCATCTTAGCGATGATGACACTCAAGAGGAATCGTAGAAGCGACATTCTAACTCGACAAGTTATTCCACTTCCACTATCGCCAAACCGATAGAATCATTGCCTTCACCTGTTCTAGGACAGGAAAAATCCTTAGGCAACTTATGCTATTTCACTGAATCCAACCTCTCTACATCTCCACCTCAATCTATTTTAAGCGTCTTAGGATGTTCAAATGAAGACAACTGTACGTCTCATACTCTCTCCGACCCAGAGTCGCGGAGCAACAAGATCATCCAACTTCTCCGACTAGACCACCTCAATTCAGAGGAAAGACAGAATGTTCTTTCGCTTGTGGACGCCATCAAGATCGGTTTTATATTCCCGATGAGTTTTTGGGACGAACTACTGCTACTACTCATAAAATCCTCACCACCGAAATACCAATAAATACCAAACAATATCGATTCCCACCTATACACAAAGGAGAGATCAACAAACAAGTCTCACAACTGTTATCAAATAATATCATTAAGTCTTCGACCTCACCATACAATTCCCTGGTATGGATAGTTCCAAAGAAAGCAGACTCTCAAGGGAACAGAAGATGGAGAATGGTAATCGACTACAGGACTCTTAACGAAAAAACTGTCGGGGATGTTTACCCGTTACCGAATATCTCAGACATCTTAGACCAACTCGGGGGAGCCAAGTACTTTTCGGTCCTTGATCTT